GTGTCTTTGTGAGGACATTGAGTGATTGTGACTTCTAAAGTTGCACAGTGGTGCTGGATCACGGGCAGGTTTTGGATTTTTCCCTGAAACTACTGTTCTGACCCAGATGGAGGTGGATATTTTTAAACCCATTCACAGCCACATTACAGCCTAGTTACAAAGTGGAACCAGACAGGAAGAAGACTGGAACTCCAAAATGATACTGATACTGATAGTGTTGAAAGCCGAGAACTGGGACCTGCAGTAACCTTCATTGTGGTTTAAAAACAGCTGACTCTTCAGAAAATGAGGATTTTAAATTTGCGATTATTTCAACCAAACTTTCAGGATCTGTAAATCAGCTGCTCTGTGAGTTCCTGGGTGTTCATTAGATCAATATTTAATTTGTACTTGCTAGAAATGTACATTTAACTTATACCCTCATCAATAATATTGAAAAATAGCATGGCTCTTGATTGGAATAAGTATACATTTTTAAAACTGCACAGCCAAAGACAGTTTTGAGAGCTGTATATAAGGGCTGTGATGGTATCAGATTTTCACCTTGCAATTATCATGGCTATGAAACATAATATTGTTGCAATATTTGTGGAAAACTTTAAGCAATATTGTTGCAATATTTGTGGAAAACTTTAAGCAAGATTGCCTGTGGTTTTCAGGCCAGTTTTAGACACATCCAGAGGCAGTCCATCGGTTGATTCGGTGCTCAAGCTGAAGTACGGACATGTCTATAAAATGTTTATCTTCAAACAAATGAGAAAGGGTACAAGCTCAGATGCGAGCTGTAGAGTCTGGCTTGCCTCTCATCTTAATCCACCTCTGTACTTAAAGCACAAAACAGATGTGCATCGTATCAACTCTCTTAACCAACTCCACAAATAGAGTAATTATGTTAATTTTCCAAAAGCTGAGAGATAATCTTTCATGGGTGTGTGCTGCACGACAAGATTAAGACCTGCTATTACCACGTATGTGACACCATTAAACTGATAAGTTTCTGAATCAAACACAATATTTAAATCAAAACTGTTTTTATTATCATATTCTACAAATTGCACTCAACATAAAACCAGGATTTACTGTTATTGCAGACAAATCTATCCTAAACATAGTTATGCTATAAAAAATTGACTGCGGTAAACCATGCAGATCATGGTCGTACATTATCAGTAAACAGGCCTCTGATAATTCTGGTTTAGCCGAGATTACATTCTGTCTGGGGTTTTCACTGGCCTGGCCGTATGTTTACTGGTCCATCTGTTCCAATCACACCAAAGCCTATGCGTGTGTGTGTGTGTGTGTGTGTGTGTGTGTGTGTGTGTGTGTGTGTGTGTGTGTGTGTGTGTGTGTGTGTGTGTGTGTGTGTGTGTGTGTGTGTGTTGGTCAAAAGGCACGGTCTGCTGCTGGACTCATGCCCAAAGCAATCAGAGTATTTGGTTGAATGCTGTGACACCATGTGCTTTTAAACACAAGGCACATGAGGAAGAGCTCCATTATTTCAATTTGACATTATTTGTATTTAAACCAGAGTTTTTTCATTTATAGATGCATTCTGTACCTTTTTTGTTATCTGCTGGGAGGTCAAGGGCACAGTGGAGAAATCACCCAGAGCTGAGACAGAGTATGTCCCCACTGTGACTTGACGTCACCAGGCCCAAAACTGACGTCACAAAGACTCACACATGCACAGAAATGACAATATGAACAAGATTATTTTTTTATTATAAAACATGGTCTGGAAACAGATGGTCACAAATGCAGTGCTGTGTGACAGAAAACAGCCACACAGAAATGCATTTGTTCAAGTCTGCACTGTAAAAAAAATACAACATACCTCAAATTACCTCATAACAACCTGGTTTGAAATTAAAAGGCATCCTGAATGAACCACTGAATCATAGCTGCAACATACACATTCATTAAAAATACAATAAAAAAGCCAATCTTTCCTTTAAGTGAAGCACAAATGACATCAGATTAGAGTTGGTTGATTAAACCGTAGATGGACATATGATGATCAAAACAGGGATTAAGCAAGGTTGCTCAACAAGGTCAGGTCATCAAACAGAAACAGTTTGTCAAATTGATCTCCATCAGGGGTCCTCCTCATCACGATTCGGTTTTTGATCTTCATGGTCATCTTCAAGCCATAGCCTGGGGGTAGAGAGCTTCAGGTTTGAGGGGCCTCAGAATATCATCTCTGTTTATGCTGATGATGCAGTTCTGATAATCTCCATTAGGTATGTGGACGATTTAAGGGTGAGGGAAAAGCAGTTGGTGTTATGATCTTCACTTACTTCAGGTATAAAGATGGACTAAAGTGAATTGTAACTGTAAGTGCAAACGAAAGAAAAGAGACAGGCTTAAGTAGAAAGAAGCCAGTTTTTATCAGTGGGAAAGCCACACCTGCACACCAGTCTGCCGGCCTTGTTCACTTGCAGTGAGGGATTAAGATTTATTTACAGTCTTCATCAAACACAGGGTCTTATTTCATCTGTACACCTGTACGTCTTCTCCAAACATCAAGAAAATCAAAGATCACCACTTTCTGCGACATTGCCTCTGATATGACCTCTTCCTTAACATTATTCCCCTATCATGGCCATTTGGCTATTGTCATCAACTTGCGCATCTTCTTCCTATTGAGAGTAACTTGTATTTCAGAGTGGCACTCCTCAGTGGATGTATTATTGATGTATGTATGTACGTATGTATGGATGTATCCATTCTAACGCAAAGGATGACTGAAAGTATCATCAAATAGGTAATGACTGGACCCATATTCATTTCTCTCGTGATAAATAATTAACAAATCAAAGAAGAAAGGAAACAAAAAGAAGGAATCTCAAAGTGCTGCTCACACTGCTAAGTTCCAGGTCATGGTTCTTTGCTGGTTCATTGTGGATTAAGTCCTTGCTCCAAGTGAAGGAATTCAAGTATCTTGGGGTCTTGTTCACAGGTGAGAATGAAAAATATATAGATGTGTTGTTGCAGCATCAGCACTACCCCAGGCATTGAACTGCAGCATTGAGGTGAAGAGGTGAAGACAAACGGCAAAATTTTCAATGTATCAGCTGTTGTACATCTTTACCCTCACCTTTGGTCACAAGCGATAGGTACAGAATGTAAGAATGAGTTTATAGACATAAACAGCAGAGATGAGTGGCAAGGCTGAAGCTTAGAGATGTGGTCAACAGCTTAGATATCCGGAGGGAGCCAAGAGTAGGGCTCCCTTTGCGTTAAAAGTGGGACATGTGAGCCAGCTTAGCTTTGCCTGCTACCAAACCCTGGATATACACAGAAAACAAATGGATGATTTTTCACTGTCAAAGACATTTTTAAATATTTACAGTCATCATCAAAATACTCCTAGATACATGAAACTTCTTTGGCAGCAAATAATTCAAAATATCAGTTCTCTCATATGTCTACTCTCATATGAATTCATTGGCAAAATTGGCTGTTCTTTATCATTATATCACAACAAGGAGGTGTATTATACATTTACAGCCTCTTTGATTCTGCCAGTTTTGGCTGTTTGTGGTCGACACTTACTCAAGAAGATACCCAGTTAGCATGAGCACAGTCTTCTTCTACAGTATATATCTGTGGTTCTATGCTTACATCTGTGGTTTTAGCTGTTTCTGTATTGTCCTGGGATAGAGAAACAATAAAGAATAACATCATCTAAATATTGACATTTGCCTGTTTTTGCCAGCCTTTTTCCTCTGTATTTGTGACCTCTTATCTTAGTTACAGGGTTTGATATCATTGAAGTTTTCGTAAAATTCCTCATGTAATGGTCTGAGTGTGTTTAGTTTTGGTCCCTTGATTTGATCATCTGTCTTAGTGTAGATTTTTTGTTGCCCTATTGGCTGCAGAATTCGCCAAGAGCTTAGATTTTATACGTCATATCAGCCCAACTTCACACTAAGGCCCCTTTGGATCTAGTCCTATGTGGTTGGAGATGTAAGTAGCGTTCTCTAAATTTAGGGAAAGGAGGAAGAGAAAAATTTCTCATCCGGAGGTGGTTGAGCCTTTGGACTGGGGTAGGCTTTGTCAACCTGCTTGAATTTTGATAGCTGCTTTCAATGTTTAGGGATGGATCTTTAGAGGATAAACCCACTAAACTGAAACAGTCGTGTTAGCCAGGTGCAGGCCAGAAACAACATCATTAAGACCTGGGATAACATCACAAGGAAAATACACATCTTTGAATCAAATTATTGTTTCCTGGGTAGAAGTTGCACCAAAATCCCACAAGGATTTAACCTTTTTATTTTATGTCACTAACAGCTGTTTCTCTGAATATCTTATACTGAGCATATGGGTTTACACAACAGACAAGACACCATACAGATGCTGAAAACTGACTCACACACCGCGATTATGATGCTTGCTTTGTCGTGTAGTCAACAAGAGCAGTTGTTTCATTAATGATTGCCAATCAAGTCCTTCTTCTACTTCCGTCTTGATTGCATTTCATGGAGATGATGTTAGTGATAATCCCATAACCAGATTTGTTTATTAAAGAGATTAAAGATGGATCTGTGTGTTGTTCCCTGAGTAATTTCAGTCACAGCTTTCAGTGAATGTCTTACAAATACAGTCAAAACAAATGGGTAGCAGCACTCATGAAGAAAAAGGAAAAGCAATCATAATAATCCCCTCATTTCTTTGTCTGTCTCTTCTCTTACGCGACTCCGTCCAAATAAAGACAAAGCGGATAATTGGCTCATGTTGACCGTGTTAATAACAGTGAAACATTTCTCGCCCTCGCTCTAAGTCCCCCATCCCCCTTCTGACAAATGTCACTTTTCAGAAATGAGTTTTTAATGGGCTGCACGGGCTGCCACACTGTTGCAAATGAATGCCTCGACATTTTAGCACCCGCCACCTTTTCAGCCATTATTCAGGATGCAGGATTGGGCAGCGAGCGGCCTCTGACAGTGCGACGTAGTCGACATAAGGGAAGTGTGAGAGCTGTCTTAATTAGAAAGGAGGAGACGCCTTATCTATAAGCTCCCCAGAGTCTTAGAGGCATGCGGGGTGATGCTTCTGATGATTTGTCAGTGATTAAGACGTAATAAATCACTGAGCCTGTGTGTCTGATCTCAGATAACTTCATACAATGCAAAGCACAAATAAGCAGTGCATTAAGGGGATTGGACAAGCTCTAGGGTTCACCTTAATGTAAACAGCCACCATTTAAAGCAACAAGATGTCAAAGAAGTATTACAAACCCTGAATGGTAAAATGCACATGCTATTTTATTGAATTAAAGGACTGCAATGACAGCAGTTCCCCTTTGACATGAGATTTCTGTATGTTGGTATACTAGCTAACAACCAAGCTGGTGTGTATGTTTAGAAAGAACTTAATTTTTAACACATGATGAATCAAGTAAATATGGTTTAGTACGCCCTTTTCCATTTGATATCAAGTATAGACTGATACCTAATAAGGTGCTTTTCCATGCTATAGAGGATTTCTACACTCAAAAAAATGCTGGGTTGTTTTTTCAACCCAACTACTAGGTTGAGCCTGTTGGTCAATTTATTTGGGTCATTTTCATGGAGTTGGGTATTATGAGTACCCAATTCGCAAGGTTATTTATGTTGGGAACAGAGTTATTAGCTGTTGGGTTGTATTTTCTATATAGTTTTGTTGGTTTATTGTGGATCTCTCAACACATTGGGTAGACGCTTGGGCATTTTAAACCAAGCACCACTCACTCACCAGATTGATGCCACAACCACTAAAGCAAGGAGACGTACAAAGTAAGGTTTGTTACATTCCCACTATTGCTTGACCATAAAGATGACTTGATATTATTATGTAGACCCTCAATTTGTTGTTAAGATATAAGTTTGTGAAGCACTGTTGTGTACGAGCTTCTGCTTTCAGGAATTGATTGGTAGGTGAGCAAGCTAATGGTTAGCCAACATTAGTAGCATAAAGTACATTGCCTTAAAACGTTGCAAGCTAACATGTTAGCTGATGTGGGGTGTGTTGTGGTCAGAAATGTTGAACTACTGCTTTAATGTACTCTGTCTTGATGTTTCAGGTTGATACAAACAATTAATGGATGACTTTTTTGATGTGGAGTGGAGTGGAGTGGATGCATGGATGCAAGATACAACCTACTGTTCTGTATTGTTTTTTGTTTTTTTTTCTTTGAAAAGATAAGAAAACCAAGAAATCTGCCAAATGTTTACAAACTCCAAAGTTCATTCTCCGTCAGTACAATGGAAAGAGTGCTGTTGAGGGGCGGCAGTAGCTCAGGAGGAAGAGCGGTTGTCCAATAACCACAAGGTTGGCGGTTCAAATACCCCTTATTTCAAGTCTATCCATTGTGTCCTTGGGTAAGACACTTAACCCACCTTGCTCCCACTGTGTGTCCTCCATTGGTGTATGATTGTTAGTGTTGTTTAGTGGTGGCTGGAGAGGCTGTAGGTGCAAATTGGCCCCAGGGTAGCTGTGTCTACTAAGGTAGATAACCATCACCAGGGTGTGACTGTGTGAATTAATAAATGATGTATCCAAGGTAAAGCGCTTTGAGGGTCTCTGATAAAGTGCTATATGAATTTAATATTATACTAACGGTCAAAATGCTGGGTTTAAAGAACCCAATTGTTGGGTTCAGTAAACCGACCCAGTTAGAGCGGTAAAATTAACCCAGCATGTGTTCTGTCCAATGTTCAACCAGTGCTGGGTTGGGAAACGACCCAAATTGAGTTGTTTTTAACCTAATGTTTTTAAGAGTGTGAGGTTTTTATCCATCTGTGAAGAAGAGTTTCCTTGTGCTGAACACAACAGGTGTCATCCCTTTACAGATCTACAGACGCTAATTACACGCAAGTGTAAGAAGTAAGAATGTGCCGTAAACCACATCTTATAAAGCCTTTCAGACGTGAACGAGGCTGCCTTCAAAAAAAGGTCTTGATCAGAGGATTGATCTTGTAACTCTGCCTTCAGGGTGAATATTTCTCTCATCATTTAGTACACAGAGGAAGAGCTGTGTTGTGCCTGAGCAGAGCGTTTCCAGCCGGTTAAGTAAGTGACTGATGTCTCACCCTGGATACTCCTTTTTTTCTCTATCAGCATTCTCACTGAGGACACCACCCCACCCAGCATCCTGTGCCAAGTGGGAAAGTGTTTCTTGGTAGGGGGTTTCCATGGTGACTAGCCTCAACTTCTGATGTTCACCCTGCACACACAGATACAAGGAAACAGACACATCCACAGACACATAGGTGTGACTGTAAAGCACAGCAAGAGCAATGACAAACAGCATCGATTTTCCCTCGCCGCCAAGACGAGGTTAAGAAATTGCTCCAATACGCTGCAAACAATTACCACTCCATTAAAGTGGAGAGATAGTGTAGAGAACAACTTTACAGCCACTCAGATCACACACACAGACACACACTCTGCTGGCCTCCTGCCATGCTCTCTATCACATCTCCACACAAAAACACAAGTGTGGGAGGTGGGCACTGTGGGGGGGTTATTGTATTTATTCTTAGGTGGTCACATTGTGCATATAAATTGAGCAGGCTAAATAATTAATAGATGGTACAAAGCAAGGGCAGTCCTCACACACTGGAGCAAGAAGCAGGGAAGGGGGGGAGGGGTGACAGAGCCATTAACATATTACCCACTTTTTTTACAAAACAAAGAAAAGATTATTTCATTAGATTTGAGCCAAATACCAACATACAGGATTAAATTAAACAAATTAAAGATATTATCATCAGTATATTTACTATTATTGGAAAAAGTGAAAAAAAATCGCAGGTGAAAAGTGTGCTGCCACCGTTTGCCTCAGATGATGAAGGAGACAGTTTTTCTCCTCCTCTTCAGCATCTTCAATAATTTCAAACAGAATTCCCTCCTTTTCATTCAGAGAGGGATTATGTCATCGACTGAGATCGGAGAAAGGAGAGGGGACCACAGACACAGACAGGCTTTTATTCGTTATACTCCTGCTGCCATCTAGTGATATAATGCGAGTATTACATGATAGAAGTTTGTAGTGTGCAACACCACATTGTACTGCTTTTCAGTACTCAGTCAGGGCTCCTTTTGCACAAATGAGTGGCATGGAGTCAATCAGTCTGTGACTGCTGGGGTGTCATTAGTTCAGGTCTCTGTGATAGCTCCTTCAGCTGGTCTGTATTATTACTCTGGTGTCTCTCATCTTTCTCTTCATGATATCCCAGAGATCTTCTACAGCAGTGGTTCTCAAGTCCAGTCCTTGAGGCCCACTGTCCGGCATGTTTTAGAATGTTTCCCTACTCCAACACACCTGATTCAAATGATCAGCTCGTTATTAAGCCATTACAGAGCTTGATAACGAGCTAATCATTTGAATCAGGTGTGTTGGAGCAGGGAAACATGTAGGACAGTGGGCCTCAAGGACTGGACTTGAGAACCACTGCTCTACAGGGTTCAGGCCAGACCAGTCGGCTGGAGAATAAGCACAGCCATACCATGGTCAGCAAACCAGTTTTTTAAATGAGATAATAAAGTCTGTTACTGAACAGTCTGTATGTAGTGGTTTAAACCAGACCTGAACAGACCGGGCACCTGTACTACGAAGCTGGATTAATGTTAACACACCCAGGATAACTCTGCCACAACTCGGTCAACTTCACCAGATCTCCGTAATCCCAATCAGCTGCACTACGAAGCACGATATCAACTCAATAACTGTATCCAGTTGTGGCTAGTCTAGATCTGTGCCCACATGTAATGGGTGTGGGGTCAGTGCCACCGGACCATTCTCCACAATGGAGAGGGCTGTGCGGCATATTTTACAGCCCAGGAACAGAGCATTATTTTACACAAAAACGAGGCGTACTGAGACATTATAGCGGTGAGAAGCAAAACTGCCACAGCCGCTAGAAGCGAGAGTGACGGCCAGCAAAAAATCGCAGATTGTGTAAACTACATATGTTTGTTCATAAATTTATGGTCCCCTTAGATGTTGTCATGCAGTGTGTGTGATCACCATCATCATTGACCTCATTATTTCAGATGCAACAGCAGTGGGGAAAAGAGTACGCGGGAGCAAATAAAAATGAATACAAAAACAACCTTCAAAGTAAGAGGTTAGTAGGTTTATTGGAAGATTTTATTTGTACATATTTCAATATGTAAACAGTGATTTCCTCACACTGCCTTGATGAGAAAATGAAAAATTACGATTTTCAGAGACAGAGTTGAAATAAAGGCATGCCTCTAATTAAAGCCTGCCTCACATAAAGGCCTGGTACCTAAGGTAGTCGAAACAAATAAAAGACTTAGCCTACAATTATGGAAATGGCATTCATGGCAAAACATGTGAATCAAAAATGTGATTAATCCAAATAACTATTATAATTCCTCGATTATTTATTACAAAAGAGAATCACTTACCACATATCAAATTTGATATGGGCTGAGAACCCAAGGAAAATACAGAGACAGTGTTTATTAGGAATCTATAAACATATATTTATTAAATTTTACAAACAGATCAATACTTAAAATGTTTTTCTTACTGTCAAAACTGACATTAAACAATTGATATAACATTAATTATGTAAAACATAGTCTTGAATGACTGATCAAGCTACAATTCATTAAAAAGACAAACAGCGTGTTTGTACAAACAGGAGAAAGTACATTAATTATAACATCACATAGCAATTTTTTCACAAAGCAATGGTTTGCATTAAAATATGGAGGCGTCACACTAATCGTAACTAAATAAATAAAGTTCTTCTTATCTTAACCCAACTCTGGCCTGGATCTAATCCTGAAGTAATCCCTTCAGATTTATCCATTTTCTCTATCAGGCGAAATAAGTGTGAGCAGATGCAACATGTGACGCCACTATATTCATGTTAAGCAGCGACACTTGGAGGTGCGATGACATTGTTCATTTGGATAGAAGCTTCCTGAAGCCTTTGTTTCTGGACACTATGACGAACCCCGTAACCAAAGTAGATAATCAGACCTGAGGGAAGAAGAGTGGGGATTAAGCGTAACTATTACGTTTTCCTTTTATTTAGATTCTTTTATACAATCACATATCTTATTTAACAAAGTTTAAATTAATATACACTTACCTACAACCATCCAGACTGCATAGCTGATCCAAGTTTCACCTCCAAGCTGAACCATCAGATAGGTATTAATAAGGACACTTAAAAGTGGAACTAGAGGTAGACAGGGTACCTATAAAAACATAAAACGTTATCACTGGCTTTGCAGATTGAAATGAGTTTGTAATAATGGAACATATTTTGCTCCTTATACAAAGTGTCAGTGTTTATGTGACTCATAGTTACACACTGAATATGCAGCTTTGGGCAGCAGCAAGCTAGCTGAGCTTCATATAGGAGTGTAATCAGTAAGAAACAATCATGATTGGCCTAAAGGAAACAATAGACCACTATTCTAAGTCTGTATTTAGGGAAAGATGCAAAAGTTTGAATATCATAATGCTATATAAACCAAGGTTTTTTTATGGGGATGTGCAATACAATAGGAAAACCCCATTGACTGACCCCTGACAGGAAATTTACCATGAAAGCAGCTTTAGTTGTGTTCTGTGGCTGCCTCCAGATGATCCACACAGCGAGGACCAGCATCAGTGTGATGACGGTGACAAGCAGCACGCTCCACCACTCCCGTCTGCGAAGGGAATGAACACCCTCGGACAACAGCACGCTCAAAAAGACGATGAGGAACACTGAGAACAAAACATCAGAACATACCACAACTGCATATAAAGTGGATGGTTAAAATCGGTGGAGGAGGACTTACAAATAACGATAGTAACTCTATTAACATTTTTAGAGGTGTAGTGGGTTGATCGAGGTGGAGGCCGAAACAGTCCAATCACAGGAAATGGTTCAGGTCTGTGTACAATACTGGAGTCTTCTTTATATCTGGGATTTAAATAAAAAAGAGAAAGGAGCGATCTTTAAATGACTAATTTTTTTTATAATAAAAATGCTAGAGGTCTTAAATACGTGTGTATAGTAATTTGGGGGCTTTGAAACCACATGTTGTACGTACCTCAGTATAAGTACACACACTGCAACCAGAGTGTAGGCAAAGATGGTCCCGATTGAACTCATGTCAACCAGCGCCTTCAAGTCAAATAACAGGACCATGAAAGCTGCAGAGATATGCAAATATAACTGAACCAGCAAGAGTATGCTCAAAGCCATGAATGAGGACACAAAGGGATTAGAGTTACTGAGTATTCACTCTGAATGATGAAGACTGTCATGCACTCAAAAGTGCTTATTTCCAAGAATGCTCAGCACCATATAATAAACTGTTAAATTATGACACCTGCCTATTATTGTATGGGATCTTATCGCTGCCATTTCAAGGTGGTAAATACTGTATGTGCCCCTGTTACTTCAAAGGGTAATGAAGCTGATGCATCCCTTCTCTTAAAAAAATGCTGTTCCCCGACTGCCCTCTTGAGGCTGGCAGCAGAAGCATGGAAACTTTAAACACTAGGCCAAAAAAGTCAATTTTAGAGCAAAAATAATCATGTTTACTATCTAGTTCAAAAAATGTTTTGGTCTGTTTACGGTGGGCCTGGATGGCACCCTCTGTGAGAGATGTGAATTTTTTGTTACTCATTGTTTGAAAGTTGTTAAGGTTATAAGATTGGCCAATCAGTGGCACAGCTGATATGACTGACAGGTGGGCATGCTTTCATTGAGGAGGCTAGAGGACCACCACTAGTAGGTTGATCGAAGGTTGGTTGAGTTGGCATTATTAATATGACGACAGGCTTTAAAACTGTGCACTTCTTTAACACCATAATGTGATATGAAATCACACACTGGGATGCCAATATATCGCCATTTCAGAGTGCAGTGTGAAAATAAATGGAGGTCAAAACTAAATGGTTGGACAGGGGTTAGCATGCCACCCTGACAGGTCTGCTGCTGGGAAAACCTCCAAAAGGGGGGTATGCGAATATCTTTAAACCAGTGAGCTCTCCTTTTGGACCTGGCCACTTTGGCCAGCCCTGTCACATCGGTAGACCACCCTGTCACTATTGACTGGTTTGAAAGATGCTCCGACCTAAACATCTAATCATCACAAATTTACCCAATCTCAAATTTGCTCTCTTTTTGTTTTAATAATGCTATTCCTACTTCAAGCATATAATGTTTGAGGACAAAATGTAATATATTTGACCCACTGACACAGTAAAGAGATAATCCATGTAAATTACTACACCTGTCAGTGGTCATAGTTCCATAGATAATTGGTCTATCTATCTCATGGTAATACATCACAACCTGTGGACCAAAAAATAGGCCTCTACTGTCCCCAGTCAGCTTTGCTAAATCTTTAAAAAATAATTTGAGTTATTCATGGCTGTATCTATACACCTTTAGGTACAGTTTCATGTTTAATTAAGTCAAGCTTACCAGCCACAGCTCCTGAAGTCATTGTGGCGAAGACCGGACTCTGCCTAGAGCTCATGTAGCTTAGCCGCTGGAAGAGAAGACCATCTCTTGCCATGGCAAAGAGGACTCGTGGCATTGGAAACATCACTCCCAAGAGACTGTGGAGAGACAGAAACAGCCAGGAAACAGGAGGAACACTAGTGTGAGAAGTTTTTTATCAAGCACTGAGCATTTAACACTGGTTTATTCATGACAAGATCTTCTACTCTGATGTCTGCTGGCTTTAAGTTACATATTTAAAATACTTAATAGGAGAAAGGTCCTGTGTCAGAAAGTGATCATGTTAAAGTAAAAAATGTGCGACTTATTTTATAGAAGGTTGTAAGTCTGGTGTACTTAGATTTGGCTGATTTTGACACCATCTATCTTACACCATCTATACATGCAAACATTCATTAAAAGGGTAATTATGTACACAAACACTCTTTAACTTTACAGGTCTCTGGCTGGATTTAACTTGAACATTTTTGGTTGGAAATGAGTGTGTGCATTCTTACAACTCTAGGACCCAGAAGTGTGAAAAAAAAAGAAACTCCCTCTCCTAAAGGCCGGTTTATACAACGGCAGATCAGTACCTCGTTGAGAGCGCACACAGGGATCCAACAGCCACCACATACTTCGCAGGCTCCCAGCCAACGTATTCAAAGGCAACAGGTAGGGGGCTGTGTGTGTCCAGCAGGTAGTAAGGCATCATGAGCGTGAGAGAGGCAGACACGCCAAAGTATGCCAGGAAGCAGATGAGGAGGGATGACACAATCCCAAGAGGGATGGCTCTCTGTGGGTTCTGCACCTCCTCCCCTGAAAGAGCACATCTTTATCCTCTTAACTCTTGTTCTTTGGACACTTCAAAAATCTAACCTTAAAGATAAACTGCTTTGCCACAATCGTTCAATGGTTAACAATCTGCAAAAGAGTCATCTGATCTGTATGTTTATTTAGTATTTTAAAGTTAGATGTCCGGATTTAAATGAAACCTGGGGCTGCTCTTTCCATAAAAACCCAATTTCAAGGTTTAAAGCACAAACTGTAAGTAACCCTAAAACAGCTGCTAATACATGCCAAATCAAAAGCTGAGTAGGTGCTTGCAGCTCACCACAAATGTTCTCCGTGAAGGCAGAACTTTAGGTCATTTTCTGAATTCAAAGCTGTGTGAAAAGTAACACCCAAAAGCTGCATCTGACTCACACACTTACGAAAAAGAAGCCAGACATGCAAAACTACTCCACATGTGTCTCTAATCATCATGATAAAAGGTGAAAATGAGTATGGTAGGTCTCCTTACATCTCACTCCATACTAAACTTTCTCATCCCTAAATCATACTAAACCCACTCTTGGTACCTGTTGTGGTAATGCAGTCAAATCCAACAAAAGCATAAAAACATGTCGCTGCTCCTGCTAATGTCCCGTCACAGCCAAAGGGGAAGAAGCCTCCAACACCAAAGTCAGCAGTTTCATTGTTAGCCAGTGTGTGGTTCCTGCAAAAGAAAAGAAAATAAAGGGAATGTTTACAAGAGCTTTGCATGACCGTAAATCCTCTTGTTTTTAAGCTTCCGTCTAGTTGGCGCCTCTTTCTTGAATGAAAACAGGAGGCCGTCTTTCTTATCTTTATTTCAATAATTAACTCTGTAGAGGTTAAAGATCCAGAAAAACCTCTTACTCCATTTGTCGGGTGATGTTAAGAATTGTCTCTTGACTGATCTGCCAGTTGTTGATGTCACCTTTTATGAATCCAGCGATGATTATGAAAGTTAGGATGATTACATTAACAGCAGTAAAAACTGTGTTCACGGCCGCTGACTCCTTGACTCCATAGGCAAGAAACCCTGAAATTAAAGACTGGTGATGTAAAACTGTTCAAAGATCAGCCTGAATATTAAATTCAGTCTAAAGCACATTTATTTTAGACATCACAGATTTTACCTGCAAGCAGCATAATGAGGCCGGCAGCAAAGAAGTCTGGGTATGGAGCCAAGCCCGGTGAGTCCATCGGTGTATGTTTGCTCAGAGTTTTAGCGATTACATTGTCTATCAGGTCATCAAAGGTCCCAGTCCAGGCTTTAGCTACACTAGATGTACCTAAGAAGAAGAAGCAGAAGAAATGACAGGATTGTTTTTATAGGTTGTGCTCATATTATCATAAATCTCTACAGGTAAAATGCATGCAGTCAAAGTTAGCCATCAACGAAAACAATTACAAGACAGTATAACAAGAACTCAGCCTGTGCAGAAGATCTAAGCTAACAATACTGTATGTCAGTCTGTCTTTCATTAAAACTGGGATTTACGCATAGACAATCCTTGGTTCTGCCTTCTGCCAGTATACGGATTTGAAGCCAAAAAGCTCTCGGTAATTCCAAGTTTTTTCTCCACTTCCTGAAACCAACATTGCGCAGAAGCGTTGTACGCATTCGGCAGGAGAGTCGCTGTGATGACCCTCGGCTCAAACAGCGTATCCCCCCGGTGAGCCACGCAATCTTCGTACGCCCATAGGCTGTAAGAAGTGTCAATCATAGAAAAAATGAACCCCCTAATAACTTTTAAAAATGGAGCTGTACAGAAAAAAAGAGGACTGAGCACAAACCAATCTTACAGTAACTACATGTCAACATCACAAGCAGGGGGGAGAAAAATTTAAAGTCTGTGTAATTAATTTCTTAAGTTTGTCCACAGCTCCGTAAGGATGGCGGGATTTATGACCTTTACTGCAGCCCGTCACCAGAGGGTGCTGTTCTCGGGGTGGCTTCACCCAGCGAGGAGGCAGACGCTGTCAATTCTATAGTCTATGGATTTACCTGATGTGATGGATTACAATCGAACTGAAATACAGCGTCTCCCATAAATGTTTCCTCTGGTCAGTATGCCAGAATCACAGCAGACTTACTGTTGAAAAGTCTAGCAACCTTTTAGCACGCCTCTCTTTAAGGTTCTTGACGGTCTTTAGATATTTAAGAACCACCATATTGTCTCACTTTGCCTCCACATTAGCCAATAGCATTTTTGTTCTTTCACCATTTTAAAACACACTGCAGTAGATAGTTACACATGCACTTTTAGCGTTTGTTTTACTCACCAATGACGTAGGACAGCAGCAGGTTCCAGCCGGTCACAAACGCCCACACCTCTCCAACTGTCACATAGCTGTAAAGGTAAGCAGAGCCTGTCTTTGGTACCCGGGCTCCAAACTCAGCGTAACACAACCCAGCAAACACCCATGCTATTGCTGCCACCAGGAAGGAGATAATGATGCTGGGACCGGACACCTCCCTGGCCACCTCTCCTGTCAGCACATACACACCAGTTCCAAGGGTGCTGCCGACACCCAGACCCACCAGGTCCAAGGTGGTCAGGCATCGACAGAAGTTGGACTCTTCTCCTTCTGGTTCCAGAGGCTTCTTACGAGTCAGAGTTCGAATGAACCTCAACACTTGGGTACAATATACTCTGCAACCTGAAGCACTAGGAAATATCAGAAAATGGAGAAAGGACTTATGAGTTCGAAGAAGAAGAAAAAAAGACTTTAACTGCGCTGCACTATGGCCTTTTAACAATAACATCTATTCTCAAAAAACTCATAAGCCAAAGAATCAATCAATCAAATCAAGGCTTCAATAAGATTAACCAAACTGCTAATGATTAATACACTGTGGTTCAGTGACGTATTACCTTCCAGCCATTTGAAAAGTTTACACCAGCGTCAACATTTAGTGAATTAAAAAACAAAACTGCTGCTGGTTCTAGTGGTGTGTGATGGTCAGAGACAGATCAGAAGGGGAAAACTTCTGTCTCCACCAACCCTGCTACCTGCTGCTGCTGCACACACCTGAAGTCAGTTGATCAATCAGTCCAGTGAGACTGAGGCCTACTGACTGACATCAGCTGCTTCCCAAGCTAACGTGAAACATGCAGTACATGTGGCAGCCATTGAAACTGTGTTTTTAGGATTTTACTGCCTCAAATGGCCAGGCTCCAGCCGACACTAATGACATGACAACTCTCACCCAAAAGTCCTCTTGCGGGGCCCTTTATGGTTCCTTATTCATGATGAACAAAAACTGGAGTAGCATCCAGACTGATAGCCCACTTATGCCAGCCATCCACCAGAGGACTGAGAAGATTTGGAAAAAACTAACAGCTCACACCTGCTTACATCTAAAGAAAAGCGTTTGGAGTTTTTAGTCACAGCCTAATCTCAGACTGAGAATTTACAAAGACTGGGAATCTTGCTGGGTCACCAATCTACAAGACAACAACTAGATTCTTTGAGCATTTTTTCACAGTACGGTGTTTCCCATTGGTGAGAAATCTATCTGGTGTGTGATGTGAAAGGGACAGGGGCTCATTAATGAGCTGTGTGTTCACATATTACAACTTGGAACTCGCTAATGCTAATACTCAGCATGCGCACCCCGTGGTGCAGCCCGTGTGTGCTGCATATAAAGATACATACTGAGTCCAAAGTAGCGCATAAAAAAACTTTATTCTTGAGGTGTGGGAGTTTTTATTTAGCCGTGGTGGTGCGCCATTACATGTAGGGGAAACCCTGCAAATGATGTCTAATAGGCAAGGCTGATCTGCCCAAGGCTTCACTATCTGCTCCTTTTTTATTGCCAGTGTCTCTCAAACATTCTCTTTCTTCTTGTTTTGACTGTCAGGTTTCCTTTTCTGCTTTTGTAAGAGCTTATCTATTGGTTGTTGGTTGTGTTATGTCACTGCAACAAGTGACAATATCAAACTCATTAGAAATTTCCACTCAGGTAAAGAAATCTCCCCTTCTCTGTTTCACTAATGCATCCTGCATGCCACAAATGACCTTAGTGGAAGGTTATCAAATGATGTAAAATATCGACTTGTTTCCCTTTTTAAATTTTATTTATGAAAAAATGTTTTTTTTACATTTGATGTGAGGTTGCAAAATCACGTCCTTCAAATCACCAAAGGGACTCACCAAAGTCCCTTTGATAAGTCTGCAGATTTGTGGGAAAGTAAGTGCATAATGTGCCACAATCATCCCTGTGCATTGGTGCCACCTAGTGGACTGGTGAAGTCACAGCCCTGAACACAGAGAGAGAGAGGCATCCATGAAATTACAGGATGATTTTATTTTCTGATTGGTGCTTAAATGCAGCAGAGTGGAATGTGTCGATCCTTTCTTTTAATATGTACCATGGCTGTTACAACAAAGGGCATCAGCATATCCTCTTTACATTAGATTCTTCATCTTCTGTTTTATCCATCCATACCACTCTCCTCCTCTCTACAATCACAGCTCTGACTGATGCTGTGAGGTCTTGTCTTCAGTTACTACCGGATGGTGGTACAAAGAAGCTCATTCACGAAACCAATCCAAGGTTCATTTGTCAAGCATCACTCATCATTTGTGAGGCCTGCTCGACACACCGCTGCTGTTCCCAGTAGGCCTGACACGTGTTGTTTATTCATTTTAATTACAATTAGAGGGTTTGTCTTTGAATTAAAGATGCGGTGGAACGTGGACAATACACCATGGCTGCACCTCAGCGCTGCTATAGATGAGGATGAGGATTTAGAGGAATTTAAATGTTTTTTCTTAAGAAAGCTTTTAACACTCAAACCACCAAGGCAGTCATTTTAACTGCTTTCAAAATTTGCAATGTCATAACTTTTTAAAAATAATACCTATATACCAATCGCACCCTGACTTTTCCTAAATGTGTGTATATTTTATTCTAACATTGTTTTCTCATTAAATTTCAAAACACAAAAGAGGTCTGAGTATTGCTACCTCGAATGACCAGAGCAGTCAAATTGACTGCATGCTTTTTACAAAAGGTGTTCTATTTCACTATTGGCTCAAAAGTCTCAAAAATGAGTATGGAGCTTCAGCCTTGCTTCAGAGCCTTAAAGAAGAAGAAGCCAATGGATGAGCAAGTTCAGGGAATGATGTGTGTTGGTATTTTGAGGAAATTTTTTAAAAATCTCATTCATTATAATTTTCATGTTGTGTCCTGTTGTTTTATTTATCTATTCCACCAATTAATTATTAATTGTTGTTTTTTTTCCCTGTTGATCCATATAATATGCAAATAAAAACTGAGCAGTCAAAATGACTACTATGGTCACTCTAGTAGCTGCAGAATTCTGGTAGACCGAGTGTCTTTTTTGGGCCAGTGTCACCATGATGTCGTGGTATTAGCTGCTGGTTAAACTGGAGAAAAACATATACTGCACCACAGGGGTAGAAGACAACATAGAAGTCACAAAATATCATCAAGGCATTAGTAAATGAGCACAGAAGCTCAGCAGCGATCATTTTGCTCCTTCATCCCCTCCACTGTTGGTTAATGATGAGGCAGACCACATAAATTATAACATGTCTGGGATATTGAGTCCTCTTCTTGACTGATTTTTGCTCTGTGATTCCTTTTTTCTTCTCCCCAGATCAGTTAGGGACATTTTTCACGTGTAACTTTAGCTGCCACTTTAGTTACCCGTCGACCTGCCTTATCATACATCCTGTACTCTTCTTGTCAGTGCCTTCAACTTACCTGAGCAGCTGCCACCACCAGCACTGAAAATGAGCCCATCAGGGACACGCAGACACACACAAACTCGCCTTATTAGCTGTTCCAGATTGGCCATCCTGAGGCCCAGATGCCTGTGACCTCCCCGCGCCCCCTAAATGCACAGTTATTGTGATTAAAGCATGATTGGCAGCGCTGGTTATTAATTCTAATCTTGGGCACATATGCGGGGTGGTGGGCAGAGGGCAGGCAGCGGTGTGTGCCAGGCGGACGCCACACGGAGGCTAATTCAGTCTGACATGCTATCAGAGCACGGTCACACACACTCCCCCGGCACGCCAACACCGTCTATGCACTACACACACTTTCCCTCTAATGCACAGGAGGAGAGAAGGTTATCCTTTAACAAGACACACACTCACACACCGACTTCACGGCACTCCAACACAAAAGTGGCATTTTCCTGGAAACCATTAAGACGCTCTGTACTGTCAAGCACATCATTTGAAAGCAGAAGCAGCCTGCGTTCAGCAAATCAGAGGTCTTATATTTACCACTTAGAGGCAGAAATGCAAGTGATGGGTTATTTTGAAAATATATTTTCTTCCCTCAAGGTAAAAGCCTTGAAGCAAATGATGTCTCATCTGTCTTAATAAGTCTGCTCTCGGGTAAAGATGTCTCCCATGAGGCCCGAAGCCTTCTTGAAACCACAGCAGCAGAGAAATTGGACTGAGTCTGATCAGTTTACAGGATCTGTGTTGGCATGCAGTGCCTCATCATGGTAACAATATTATGAAACTAGAACTACGTACTTGTCATTTAGTTATCAGGCCATCTAAAACAGGTGATAGAGGTCAAGATTTTATGCTATACTCAATATTAAATGTTTCCAAAAAAAGACAGATCCACTGATCAACACTGAATGTCAAGATCTAACATCTTCAAAGTCAGCACCGAGTAAACCAAAGCAGCCTGTTAAATAATGGAAATCATGAGGTACTGCTCTTTCTCCTGTAGAGGGCATAGCTTCATCATGCAAGTGAGCATCTACCACAGACAGTGCGTAAACATACCTTTCTTAGGGAGCACATAACAGCAGATTCATAGCAGAGATTTTATAGGTACACTGTATTTATTCTAAACGCACAGGTATCACAATTACATATAAAGTACATTTGATGTTTTGACATTGCATGTTATATATTTTGGTTTCGTATTAAGTAATAAAGATGTCTTCTTGCAAGAAAAGGATATTTGTTGATAAAAACAATCGAGTTTGCTAAGCTTCTTTTTGACCTTGTAAGGAGAAACATTAAGTGTTCAATTTTAAGTATGTGTTGTATCATTTCCTCCTTGACTATTTAGCATTTCAAAATTTCACACTTTAAAATAAAATTGAATCAATCAAGCAATCCAATGAGGACTGTTAGGGATAAACCAAGAAAAAATGCATCAGTATAGATTTTTAAAACAACATGATAAGAAACAAAGACAAATTTGATAGCCTTCATTCCTGTGGTTTGTGGTGTGTAACAATGTGATGAACAGCAAACCACACAACAAGACTCTTCTCACCAGCTGAGTCCTGACTCTCCTGACTGGAAAGTCTCTCGTGGTCAGGACCACATGAGACTTGATGTCAGACAGGACATTTTAACAGCTGTCTACAAGCCCCCCCATAGAATCTATTCTCATCTTTAATTTCACATTCTGGTTCACCCTCACCACTATCAGAGACAAATCAAGGCTTTACCGGATCATTCACCAAGCAAACAAAATAACTGGCCAAACTATCAAAGCTCCATATACTAGCAGTTAAAAGGAAAGCCAAAGTCACTACGGGTGACCCCAACACCCACCCTTGGCATCCATCCTTCCAACTCCAACTTCAAGATTCAAAGTTCTTCTTCCAACAAAATGACCCACATAAAAGACGTTCATCCCCACTCTAATAACCACTCGTGTTGTCACCATGCATCAACAAATAGGTTGGCTGTCTTCTTGGGTCCTCTCTCCCACACAAACATAAGGGTTTCTGATTGTTGAACATGTTTAATATTTACAGTTTCAAGTTGGGGAGGCTCTAAATATCCTCCAAGTAGATCTACGAGCAAAAACATCTCTCCTCCTCTTAACATATCCAGACAGCTGTAGATGATCAACTCTCATATTCTACTCTATAAACTAATAGTCCGATTAAGTTAGTTCGATGTACTGATAAGTTCAAAGATAGTTTCAAACTGAGTGCTTACTGCCTGTTGATCCTAACCTTTTAAAAAGTCCCTGTATGTGCTAGCTGTGAAGAAGCATTTTTGTATTGAGCTGACGATCAATTCAGATTGTACACTAGGCTTAGCATTTGCCTCTCGGAGAAGTAATGGATACAAAGATGT